TAAGGGAAGGGTACAGTAAGCTGCAACCACCATACATTAATACATCACACATAATTAATACATTACTACTTAGAGAAAGGCACATACTGCATTAAAAATAGTTATTAAAAATTATATATATATATATATGTATATACACACACATATATACAGAAGTCTATTATAACTCTGATATAACTATATATCAGCAGCCTTATATAGTGTGCTGCAGGGACTTAGCTGTGAGACATGATTGAGCAGAGTCATCGTGACTTTGCCCAATCATGGCTCTATATTTGTACTGAGCCCTCATTGGCACAGTCTTGCACCTGACCTGCAGTTATGTGCAAGACTGTAGCCAATTACCGTTTGGACGGCGCAGTGCATTGTGGGATGTTCCGCGGTCGAACAGACCGCGGACATCCCGTAATGTTCGGCGGACGCTAGAACAGGCTATGTTCGAGTCAAACCTATGTTCGACTCGAACATGCAGCCCATCCCTAATGAGGACAGGGATTTCATCCAGTTCCTAAGAGAATGTGGGGGGTCCGCTGAGGGGGTAACTTATCGGAATCTGGAAACCCCTTTAAAATAGGGGCGGCCCCAAGATATCTGGCATCCCCCAAGTGAATGAGAACATAGATCACCTGGCTACCTCTTTACAAATAAAAGCATGGCCCTGGATGGGAAGCTGTCACATTTAGTGGCCGTAATACTACCACTCCTAAATTAATTACTTCCTGCAGCAGCCGAAGGTTGGCTTAGGCAGGAGGGTGAACTGCGAACAGCCAGAGTTTGCAGCAAACTGCATACTTGAACCTCATCTCTATTTGGTGACGTTTTCCTGCCCCCCAACTTTCTATACTTTCTCAAGTTGTGATGGAAAGGTTGGGTGTCTTCTGCATATATGAGCAGGTAGGTCTAGGTGGCCTGCACTTCATACCTAAAGCAATTTATATATCACCGCATGAATCAATGGTTTGTGTAGAAGATATTGCATATATGTATTTTTTATTCAACAAAGCAAGAGTTGCCCTTTGCACAGTTGTTAGATTAGAAATTTAGGAGCTCTTATTACTGACTTGGTTTTGTATTTATAGGCTTTAGGGCTATAATTCTGATTGTTGATTCACAAGCTAGGGAATCTGACCTGGAGCAAGCATGCAGCCATTGAAGTACATGTGCTCCTGATATGCACATGGTTGTTTTGATTGAGTGACCCCATTAGAGGCAAAGCAAGGGTAGCGGGGCCAGCTCTAGAGTTTGCACCTTCAACAAAAAATCTAGACTGGTATTTATATAATGACAGGTCCCTTTTAACCACCTGCTGTCCGGCCGTTGTAATTAAACGACCGGACAGCGGCTTCTTGAATGCGTTTTTAAACGCCCCATCCCGTCCTGCCGCTAGGCGGTGCGCACTTACGGGAAATCGGC